GGGTGGATATAGCTCGCTTACACCGAGGACCTATCCACGTCATCATTTACCCAGAATGCTTTGCGAGTAAATAAAATGGCTCTGTCCGTGTAATATATTTAGCAAAATTTAGTTTAAAAAATTTACAAAACTAAACAGCCTACAGTATTTTTACAGTCTTTATTTTACAGTTAAAATATATGTTTATCAAATAAAGTTTAATGTTACAACTAATCCGGGATCCCTTTAAATTACGTGAAATTTTGCTTAAAAAATGATTATATGCATTTACACTTATTTGTCCATTTGGTGCTCTGCAGTTACTTTTTGACTTCTAGAGCCATCACTTGTTTTATCTTTCAATTAAACTTTTAATAAATTAAAATCTGTCCACTGGTTCATGCAATATTTTACTAACAAACACAAATGAACACACAGTGGCAGTTACACAGTTGCCTGCCTTTTATGGCAGTAGGTAATAATAAAAGAAGAAGATACTATACTAATTCAGCTTGAATAAATCTGTATGTTGTGCTGTTTGATGTAAAGAAGAAAAAACATACTCAGATGTTAAACACTTCCTGGTTCTGTGCGTGGGTTTCAGTGGTCTACACCATCCGAGATCTTGCAGAGTTACCGGGAGCAGCAGCTGTGGATCGCTCCTCCTCAGTTCTACGAGCTCAGCCGAATGTGTCGTTTCTCTTCGCTGAATGACCTCCAGAACTTCAGCTACCAACGGGCCACAGAGGGCTGCCAGCGGTGGTTACCTGTCATCCTCCCAGAAGACGAGCACCACGTTTCACTGCTGCCAGGTACTGATTGTTAAATGTGTTTTCTCTAATGATTATCCAGAGCAGAGAAGTTTTATTTTAATTTAAAAGATGAAAAAAAAAAGTGATGACTTTGTTTGGTTTTGCAGATGTGTAAAGTCAGATTAACATTTTTATAAATCCCATTCAGCTCAGTCATCGTTGGCCACAAATGCTGCTCTTCTGCCTTTAAATAATCACTTCAAAGTGTTTTTGACACAGTATTAAATCATAATTTAAAAACATAATCTTTCCTAAGCAGTTAAAAAAATCATTATTTTATCTACATCAAAGGAAACATAACTAGACACAGATAATCAGTTTTTCCTTTATGCTAATATTTTATATTTGAAAGTTGGATTTCACAATAAATCTTAGAAGTGAAGCTGAATGAAACTGTTTTTAAAGGGATCCCTGATTAGTTGTAACATTAGACTTTATTTGATAAACATTTATTTTAACTGTAAAATAAAGACTGTAAAAATACTGTAGGCTGTTTAGTTTTTATAATTTTTAAACTAAAAGTTTAAAAAATATATTACACGGATGAGGCCATTTTATTTACACTCAAAGCATTCTGGGTAAATGATGACATGGATAGGTCCTCGGTGCGAGGC